CTCTCTCTCTCAGCGTCTCTCTCCCACTCTCTCCCTCTCGCGCCCGAGAGGTCTGCCCCGCGCAAGTCTGCGAAGTGTCTAGGAAGTGTCTAGGAAGTGTCTCGCGCCCGAGAGGTCTGCCCTGCGCAAGTCTGCGAAGTGTCTAGGAAGTGTCTAGGAAGTGTCTCGCGCCCGAGAGGTCTGCCCCGCGCAAGTCTGCGAAGTGTCTAGGAAGTGTCTAGGAAGTGTCTCGCGCCCGAGAGGTCTGCCCTGCGCAAGTCTGCGAAGTGTCTAGGAAGTGTCTAGGAAGTGTCTCGCGCCCGAGAGGTCTGCCCCGCGCAAGTCTGCGAAGTGTCTAGGAAGTGTCTAGGAAGTGTCTAGGAAGTGTCTCGCGCCCGAGAGGTCTGCCCCGCGCAAGTCTGCGAAGTGTCTAGGAAGTGTCTAGGAAGTGTCTCGCGCCCGAGAGGTCTGCCCCGCGCAAGTCTGCGAACGAGAGGTCGGCAAAGTCGAGCTGAGCGTTGCGGAGGTTGGCCTGTGCGCCCCAAGCAAGGACTCTCACTGACCACAACACAGCTCAGCACGTTTGAGTGTAGAGCGTCGAGCTGGGCGCTGCGCGGAGGTTGCGGGATGGCCGCGGGCGGCTGTGTCTCGGCTGTGTCTCGCCGTCCGCAGGCTGGCGTGCTTGAGGTTCTGGCCCTTGAGGTTGGCGGAGGGGAGGTCGGTGCAGCCGCGCTCGAAGAAGTCGACCTGTTGACAGAGGAGGTGCTGTCGAGAGACCCGGTCTCAGAGGCCCGCGCCTCAGCGCCTCAGAGGCATCGTTAAGGGATAAGTTAAGGCCGCTCGGCACCGACACTCCAACGAGGTCAAGGCAGCTGTTTGGAGGAGGCGGGCGAGGAGGCGAGGAGGGCGGCGGGGGGAGAGGCGGCGGCGGCGGCGGCGGCGAGGGCGGCGGCTGCAGCGGTGGGCGGAGGGGCGGCGGCTGCGCGGGCGGCGGCGGCGGCGGCGATGACGGCGGCGGCGGCGACGGCGGCGACGTCGGGGGCGGCGGCGACGGCGGCGGGTGCGCGGGAGGGTGCAGCGGCGGAGGGGAGGGCGGGGGAGTGGGCGGCGAGGGTGGCCCTCGTGGCTGGGGTGGCTGCGGCGGCGGCGTGGGCGGGGGTGGCGGTGGCGGCGGCGGCGAGGGTGGCGGCGGCGAGGGTGGCGGCGGCGGAGGGGGCGACGGTGGCGGCGGCGGGAGCGGCGGCGGCGGTGGCGGCGACCACGGAGGTGCGGAGGGGGGCGGCGACGGCGGAGGCAGCGACGGAGAAGGCGGCGGCGGCGGCGGTGGCGATTGTGGCAAGGGAGGTGGTAGCGGCGGCGGGGGTGGCGAGGCAGGCGGCGGCGGCGATGGAGGCGGCGGGACGCGAGGCACTTTCACCCAGCACTCGAAGCCGGGTATGGCGGCCACGTTGAAGACCACCGAGTGGTGCAGCTCGCAGCGTTTGTACTCCTTCCCCTTCACCCGCCTGCAGTATAGGAGCGTTGTGCTCCTGTCACTCTTAGCACGGAGACGCCGGGGCACCGAACGCGGGACAGACGCGGGCATGCAGACCAAGAGGCGCGTTGTGTGGGGATGACAGCCACCTGCTGGCCAGGGAGCCAAACTCGTAGGCGATGCAGACGGCGTCTGCTGCGCAGCGTGCGCGGCAGTCGGCCGCATCCGTGAGCCATATCTCCTCATATGCGCCGGAGCCACCATTGACACTCCTGTCAGAGCGACAGCCGCCAGCACGTCCGTCGGGCATGTACCACTGTGTGGCGGCCATCGCCCGGGCGCCGCAGCAGAGGGTGAGCGCGAGGAGGATGAGCAGCATTTTGCTAAGAACGGAAACGGAGACAGGCTCGTCGACGAGACGCGATAGTGGCACAAAAAGAATTTTGCACGCGGAATTTCATTCCCACGGAGTGCGCGGAGCTGCTCCTTCTCTGTCCCTAACCACTATGGACAACCCATAGGGTCAAAAATCTCTCTCTCTCTAACATCCGGGCAGCGTGACGCACAACTTTAACCTCCCATACGTGTTTGTGCTCCTCCTTCGCTGTCCCATCTCCTCATCTCTTTCCCACCTAGGCGGTGCGGTGTGGTGTGTGTGTGTGTGTGTGTGTGTTGTGTGTGTGTGTGTGTGTGTGTGTGTGTGTGTGTGTGTGTGTGTGTGTGTGTGTGTGTGTGTGTGTGTGTGTGTGTGTGTGTGACTGTGACAAGGGATCCCTCCTGTTTCTTATCAACAACGAAGGCGCTCTCAAAAAAAGAATTTTACGACTCGACTCTAACTCACTAGGAATGGGACTGGCGCGCACTGCCACTGGCACCAACACAGGTACGGCGTTGTGAAGAAACTACTGAGATACGCTGCTCGGCTTCTGCAGCCCTGTGGCCAATTCTAAGAATTGTAGGATGAGCTCTCTGTGACAACACTGGCACGGGACTGGCGCGCACTGCCGGCACACAAAAAAGAATCAGGGCAGCAAAGGTGGGGACGTCAGCGTACTGCGCGCCTCCTCCCCCGCAGCGGTCTCCACCTCGCCCAAGAGAGCCGCCACCGGGCACGAGAGCGTAACTCTGTGGTAAGGTAAGGTAAGGTAAGGTAAACTTCTCCACACACACGAGGTGGTGGGGCAAGGGGGGGCAACCCTCGCGTCTCCACGTCTAACGACAGGAGCCCCACGGCATTCAAAGTGCAAGGCCCGGTGCGCGTGGGTGAGGTGTGTGTGTGTGTGTGTGTGTGTGTGTGTGTGTGTGTGTGTGTGTGTGTGTGTGTGTGTGTGTGTGTGTGTGTGTGTGTGTGTGTGTGTGTGTGTGTGTGTGTGTGTGTGTGTGTGTGTGTGTGTGTGTGTCACGTCACTGCATCCTCTGCTGGTTCCTCCCGTCGCCTCTTCTTTGTTCGAATGTTTTTCAATCCATCCTTCACGAAGCCCTCCCATGTAGCTAGCGTTCTTTGTGCGAATGTCTCGAAATGGCCAGCAGGCGCTGTCTGCTCGCGACCTGTGCGGGCCGCTCGTCCTCCTCGCCCTTCTTTCGTCCTCCCGTCCCTCCCCTCCACCATGGCCTCCTCGGCACTTCTTTCTCCATCCGCCTCGCCCTGCCTTTTCGTATCGTGCCGTTCGCCCTCCATTCCGGTGACCTCTGTGGCGTAAGCCGTAACTTGGGATGTCGGTCTTTCTTTCGAGGCGCCTGCGGGTGCGGCGCAGTCGTCGCGCCGGCTCGGCGCCACGCCCCACGCCGGCTATAACAGGCTATAACGAAAACCCAAAACCCGCACGGCCCTCAGCGCCGACCCTTCTTCTTCGCCTTGGCCGCCTTCCCCTGCGACGCGCCCTGGCTCCCGCACGCCACGCAGCAGTCCCAGTCTCGGCAGGCGTCGCAGTGGTACCCGCCGCGAGTGTACTCAAAGTCGATGCCGCACAGGTCGCAGTTTCCCACGCCCGCGGCCAGGTGGCGGTAGTCGCGCGGCTGGCTGTTGACTGGCGTCAGGCGATGGCCGCGATGGCAGGCGCGCTGCGCGGGGGGCGGCGGCATGAGCGACGGCGCCTTGCGCTTGCCGCCGCCGCCGCCGCTGCTCCTCTTGACGGGTGCATGCTCCTCCTCGCTCTCCTCGCTCTCCTCGTCCAGGTCCTCAAAATCACCGTCCGAGTCGCTATCGGCCACCATCTGTCGCCGCTGCTGCGGGGTGAGGCTGAGCCAGACGGCCTTGATCGCCTCGCGCTGCCGCGCACTCCCCGACGGCAGCCGAGCCGCCGCCTGGAGCCGCTTGTCGCCGGGAAGGACCTCCAACAACGCCTCGATGAGCTCCTCGTCCATATCAGACTCGTCCAGCTCGAGGTCGTCCTCCGATACCTCTGCGTCTGCGAGTCTCGCGCAGATATCGTCGGCGTCGGAGGCTTTGGACGCTGCGTTGGTCGCGAGCCACTCGCGCGCTGCCGCCACGGCGTCAAAGACGACCACGTCGCCATGGCCGCCATCCACAGCCGCCGCCACCGAAGCGGCGAGCGCTTTCGCCTGCTCCGCTGACGGTGCGAAGAACCCTCCTTTGGGAGCGGACCGGTGCTCAAAGAGGTCGGCGTGCTGCGCGAGGCTCGAGCACGTTATGATGGGGGCGGCGCTGGACGGATACGAAGAGGGAAGGCTGACTTCCATCGCGATCGCGCCAACCACTTCTTTGTCGTCGATCACCTCTGGCGTCACGGCGATCACGATCCTCCCTGCCGACTCGCTGTCGACCCACAGGTCAGGACCGAGGATGGATGAAAGAGCGACGAGCTCATCGGTGGCCTCTTCCGAGGGCATACGAACCGCTCTAGAGCGAGCGCGTCGTCCGTCGAGATGTCTCGTAAAAAAGTGCGCGCAGCACATCGGCGCGAACACAGCCCATGGAATCGCGTGCCAGATAGGCTCATGGGATAGCTCAAAGCTAGTATGTGTGTACATGATTGATGGTGCCAGCTGTGCGTCCCTCACTCAGTTCGCCTCTACGAAGGATCTACGTAGTACATACATGGCGCAGCGTCCGACATCTCTCTCTCTCTCCGACATCGCATGCCGGGCGAGACCGGGGCCCTCACATCCTCTCCTCGGCGTGCGCCGCTAGCCGCACCAGCAGCAGGCCCTCGACGCCGAGCTCGACGGCCTGCTTGTACAGCGCCTCGGCCACGAGCGCGCGCTCCGCCTTTGACGTGGGGACGCCGTTGGGGACGGCGACGGCCGTGTCGGGCCGGTTGCCGTTGCTGCGTGGCGGGACGATCCCTCTGATGCGCAAGACCTGCGCCGCGTGGTACGGGACGCCGTAGATGCACCCGTTGGTGCCGACAACGCCAGAGGACCACTTGTCGCCAAACAGCCCATAGTCTGGCCCTATCAGCGCCGACTCCTGCGTCTTCGGGTCAAAGCGCAGCACGCGCTCCGCGTCGTATGGGATGCCGTAGATGAAGCCGTCTGCGCCGACGAGGCCGCACGACCATTTGCCGCCGCCCTGCCCGAGGTCGCCGCCGACGAGCGTCGCCTGCTGCGTCAGCGGGTCGAAGCGCAGGAGGCGCTCCGCGACAAAGGGCAGGCCGTAAATGCAGCCGTCGGGGCCGATGACGCCGCCCGCCCACTTGTGCGTCGACTGAGCCTGCGCCGCAGACCCCGCGCGCGACGACGACGACGACGACGACGACGAGCGCGAGGAGGAAGAGGCGCCGTCGTCGTCCTCCTCCTCGCCCGCCGGCTCGCCCGCCTCGCCGAGGTCGGGTCCGACGAGGCTCGCCTCGCGCGTCGTAGGGTCGAAGCGCAGCACGTGCGATGAGCTGCCCGGGATGCCGTATATGCAGTTGTCCCTGCCGAGCACGCAGCCCCGCCACTTGCCGCCCCCCTGCGGGTTGGCCTCGTCGCCCTCGCCAAGGTCCGGGCCGACGAGAGTCACTTCCTGCGTCGACGGGTCGAAGCGAAGCACACGCGCAGAGTTGAAGGGCACGCCGTAGACGCAGCCGTCGGGCCCGAGCACTCCGCCGTCCCACTTGCCGCCTCCCTGTCCCAGGTAGGGCCCCACGAGCGTCGCCTCCTCTGCCACCGGGTCAAAGCGCAGCACCCTTGCGCTGTCGTGCGGAATGCCGTAGATGCAGCCGTCGCGGCCGAGGACACCGTCAGACCACTTGTACTCCTCCCCACCCAAGTCTGCTCCGATCAGCATCGAGTTTTGCGTCTCTGGGTCAAAGCGCAGCACTTGCCTCGCGTCGGCTGGCACGCCATAGATGCAGCCGTCGCAGCCGAGCACCGCGCCGGCAAAGCCGAGGCGGCCGCCGCTGCTCAGCTCAAGCTTGAGCAGCTCAGGCCCGACGGTCCCGATGCGCGGTGAGTCCATTGGAGCTCCTAGCCCGACGTCGGACGTCCCCGTCCCCGTCGGCGATTGTCTGTTTGAATAGTCGTGCGGGCCGAAAAGAACTGGAAGCTGAGAAAGAAAGAAAACAGACAACCCAAGGGAGGGATGGGAGGACGGGGTTCGGGACCCAAGGGGCAAGGGCGATACGAAGCATCGGCCATCCATGACTTTAGATGTGCAGGGGGGGTACCGAGCAGTGTGCGGCCGCTCTGGGGGCGCGTCGCCCTGCTTGCTCTAGGTGAAACGTCTAAAGGACGAAGAAGACCCAAATCCGCACGGCGGGGTTGAGCACGGCGGGCGGAGAACACGGGCACTAGACCAGGGAGGACTGGGAGTCTGGCTGGGAGAGTGTGAATGGAGGGACACGTGTGTTCAGACGGCCGCCGCCCGCGCCGTGTCTGTCGCGTGAATCGTGCTGACATTCTTTTTCTCGGATTTTTTTAAATGGGGAATAATTCTTTTTTAGTGCCAGTGCGCGCCAGTCCCGTGCCCAGTGTTGTGCGAGGGAGTTTAGTTGTAAGATTCTTTTCCTAGCACGCGAGAGACCACAGACAAGCGGCACAAACGTGCTCCGGAGGGAGCGCGGGGATTATGGAGCGCACTAAGACTAGTATCTCTCGTTTCTCGAGGAGCTTTGGGTTAAGAATTAAAACCCAAAGCTTGAGACGCTGTGCCTGCCTGCCCGCCGCGAATTCTTCCCTTTTTCTGTTGGCAGGCCGCGCTCTGAGGTGCTTTTGCGAGCATTCTAGTCCCACACAGGGGCGCCCCCCACTCGCGGCCGCCAACACGGCTCGCGACGCGCTGTCTGTTTCCGTCAGGGAGCGTCTATCATTATACTCGCCGCTCCAAGGGATCCTCCTCGGTTCTGTCGGCGTCTGCGCGCGCTGAACCCATCTGGACCCAAGCCCCTGCTCCCTCGCGAAGCCACGCCTAATAATATCACTCCGCCTCGCCGTCGCCGCCGCCGCCGTCTGCCTCGCCGTCGCCGCCGCCGCCTCTGCCGCCGCCTCTGCCGCCGCCGCCGTCCGCCTCGACGGCCGCCGCCGCCTCCCCCTGTCGCCTGCCCCTGCATCACTGCCGCGCCGCCGCGTTTCCCATATGATCACACGCGTGCTTCTCGTGTCAGGACGCGTAACCTTCGACCCCCGCCTGCCGAAGCACAGAGCCGCGAGCCGTCGCCGCAGAGGCGCGGCCCGCACGCTGCTCCCACCATACACACATTACCCGGCGGCTCTGTCCCTCGCCCATCACACCAGAGCGCCCTCGCCACCGCCCATCCTGCGGTGCCATCACCGAGCCCGCCGCCTCCCTTCCTCTCCCGCGCAGGCCTCGCCGTGCGCCCTGATCCGATGGGCAAGTCAAAGTGGTCGCACTTTCCCCTCAACTATACCGTCGCCGGCTCGTATCAGTCCGAAGGCAGCATGGACGACAGCGGCGGCTTCGTGCGGCAGGGGAGGCCCCGCTGCAAGGGCGTCGCCGAGCCCTCACCCGCTCCCGCCGGGGATGCGACGGTCCGCGCGCTAATCGAGATGGGGTACGACGAGGGGGGCGTGCTGCGCGCCGTCGCGTCCCTCTCCGACAAGTCGAACGTTGAAGCGGCGGTTGTCGAGCTTGAGCGCATCGCTGGCGACGGGGTGCAGTCGCTCAAGGCTGTGCCCTACATCGGCCTGCAAAACCAGGGTACCACCTGCTACCTGAACTCGCTGTGCCAGTGCCTCAACAAGACGCCGGAGCTGCGTGGGGGGCTCATCGCCCTCTGCTCCACGCCTGACACCGCGAGGCCAGTGTGCGCTGCGCTCTCCTCCCTCTTCTCCTCCCTGTCATCGGCGTCGCAGGCCGTCGGAGCCGAGGGTCTCTCCCGCGCGCTCACCACCGCGGTGGTCGGCGGCAATGCCTTTGGGTACGAGGACGTGCAAGAGTTTTGGCAGGCACGAGATGCGCCGAGATGCGCCGAGATGCGCCGAAACAATGCGGGCCGAGAGTCCACAAGAGATTGGCGCGGCGGCCTGTACGACACTCGCCACGAACCGTCCCATGTCCCGTCCAGGTGCTGCTGGACAAGCTCGAGGCTGAGCTCAAGAGGTGCCCTCCCTTGCGACACACATAACGAAGCAGAGCCTCGCCCAATCTCGGCTAACCCCCCCCCCCCCCCCTCCCCCCCCCGCAGCACGCCGCAGGCGGATCTGCTCATCTTCCGCGACCCCTGAGATGAGATCACCCAAGATTACGCGGGATCATCACCCGAGATAGGAGGATCTGCTGCGCGAGGTTTTTGGCGGTACGCAGCGTGCACACGTGCGGTGCGCCCGGTGTGGCAACGTCACCGCCACCGACGAGGAGTTCTATAAAGGTGTCATTTTCATGCACTCAAAACCTCTCCCTCTCTCTCCCCCTCTCTCTCCCTCCCTCCCTCTCCCTCCCTCTCTGTTTCTCTCTTCTCTGTGTCCCTCGAGGCTCCACTCTCACACTCTCTGGTCCTCTCGCGCAGCACAACTTCTCCTGCAGAGCGCACGCGGCACAATCGCGATCAAGACCGATGGGCGCGTCCTGCTGCACCAGTTTGCGTCGCTGCCCCGCTCCCTCCAGCTCAAGCTGCTGCAAGACCCCGTCTTCAGCCAGGCCATCTCTCGGCTATAGACATAATAAGCACTTGGCATGAATAGGCCACATCACCGCGCTCCGGATCTCATTAACCTAGGCACACGTCTTCCGGTTCCAGATCTACCTGGCTTGGGATGCCGACGGCGCCGTGACGCTCTCGCTGCACCGCGACGGCCCGCCGTTCGTGACGGTGGGCCGTCTGTGCGTGCGCTACCTTCTCGAGTGAAGGAAGGAAGGAACTCTCCCTCCGATGACGACTCCCAAACACTGCATGCAACTCTGAGAAAACTATCGTCGCAGCGCGTCGCAGACGTGTTTTCGAGGACCAAAGTAAGTTGCAAAGTTGCATGTGAGCCATACGAGGTATTTTCTTAAAGAACACGAACACGACGTAGTAAGTTGCAAAGTTGCATGTATGTGAGCCGTCGGTGCCACCTTGCACAAGTATGATGCTTCGTGCGAAACAACAACAACATGCACACAGACACATACAAGAAGGCAACAACTATGCAAGCAACATAGCAACATAGCAACATGCATCCCGATTTGGCAACATGGACATCACACTTTAGATCACGCACCTTCATTCCCCGCAATTAGTTTGACAACATGCCCTTGCAACATGCAACAAGTTAAGCCCAACATGCGGCAACAACATTCCTCTGAAACATGCGTCAACGCTCCTTCGTCAAGATGCGGGTTCCCCGACGAGACTGCCCGCCGACCGCCGCGTTTGGTCTTCGCGTTTCATCGGGACCTCGATGTGGGACCCCTCGCACGGGACGCAGCCCTCGCACGGGCAGCCGCCGCCGCCGCAGCAGCCGCAGCCGCAGCCGCAGCCCCCGCAGCTGCAGCCGCAGCAGCAACGCCGGCGGAGCACAGCCAAGCGCGGGGCGAGCCCCCTCACCGTGCTCGGGGCACAGAGCGGCCGCAGCCTTCACAGCGCGAGGCCGCTGCGGCCGCCGCCTCCACAGCGCCTCGGCCTCCACAGCGCCGCCCAGCCGGCGGAGCACGTGCAGCGCCGCGAGCCGCGCGTCGGCGTCGTCGGCGAGGGCGAGCAGGACCAGCGCGTCGAGCGCGCCGCCCTCGGCGGTCCTGCGTGGAGAAGGGGGGGCGGGGCGGGTCAGTGCATAGAGGGAGGCGAAGGCCGCCCGTGGCAGCGGTGCAGACGTCGACGCGAGCGGCCGACGACGCAGCGATCAGCCATCCGCACCTCGCGCCCGGCACCTGCGCGAGGGGAGGGAGCCGGGCGTGCCGGGGACGGCACCCTCGCAGGAGACGCCTCGCGCTCCGGCCTCCATATCTCCCCATATCTCCCCATATCTCGCCCTGGCTGTCCTCCCGGCTACCCCTCTTCTCGACGGTGGTGGAGGCGAGGGCGGCGGCGGGGCGGGCGGCGGCGGCGATGGCGGTGGTGGCGAGGGAGCCGGCGGCGAGGGCGGCTGCGGACTTGGCTGCGGGGGGCTCAGCGCTTGGCGGCGGACGCGGGGGCGGCGGCGACGGGGGTGGCGGCGAGGGCGGCGGGCTCCGCGGCGATGGCGACGGCGGAGGCAGTGAGGGAGGCGGAGAGGGTGGGGGTGGCGACGGCCGCATCGCCCTCAAGAGCGCAAAAGCCACAGCACGGCCCGGCGCCGCTCCCGCGCTTCTCAACAGAATTCCATCAAGAATTCCGCTCGCAGTGCGCCTCGGATTCTCTCTCCCCGTAACATGCGAGGGGCTGAGCTGTAAAGGTTTGGACCATCCGCGTGTTATCAAAGCGAGACGACGCACACACTGCGGAAATTCGCACTCACCCCCCACTGTCGCCAGACTGTGAGAGGCTATAGGGGAGGAGGGTGGGAGACCATAGCTCCCGCGTTCCCGTCGGGCTCCAAAGCAGGCATAGCACAAGCCGTAACACCGACGGGTGGTGCTATGCGCTTGCGAAACACCGACGGCAAACGTAAATTCGTGGGCGCCCGACGGAATTAATCCCGATTAGGCGCCCGCGACACACTGAATACCCCGGGCGGGCCTCCGCTCCGGGGCTGCTCTATCTCCATTGTCTGCACGCAACCATGGTTATGCCCCTACTGTGTGAAACGTTTCCACGTAGAGCTCTATTCCAAATGACCTCCCAGAGGCCTGTATTCTGCCGTATTCCACCCGTATTCCACGTATTCCATGGAATACGCCGTATTCCAAAAATGGACGTATTCCGTATAAAATTTTCTTCGCTCAGCGAATTCACACAGTAGGGGGTTGCCCGCCTGTCGCCGTGTGCGATGGCGGCGTTGGACAACGAAGACGAGGGTGACGTCCCACCGCTGCTGCAGGTCCCATCCGACCATCTGCCCGCTCCGGCTCCTCCGCCAGCACCACCACAGCTATTGCCGACACCCGTCGATTCTCTCACTGGCGCACTCGTCGAGGTACACTCACTCAGTTCGCGCCCGGAGCTCAACGGTGCCATCGGCAGCGCGTGCAGCTGGCTGGCTGAGTCCGGGAGGTATGAAGTGCGCATCATGAGCGGCGCCAAACCCGTCAGACTGTGCGTCAGACCCGCCAACCTGAGACGCGCGCCGCCGGAAGCAGCACGCAGACCTGTTGCCAGCGGAGCATTGCCTGTCGTGCGTGGTGATGGTCGCGGCGGCGCGTCTACGCTGCAGCTGCCCGAGGTGCAGAGCAGCATGGCGGAGGCGGAGGCTGCGGCGGGTGGCGCTGTCGCAGGCGCATCGTGGGTGACACCGGAGCTGCTGGCCAAGGTAGCTGCCGACCCGCTGCTGCGCAAGGCCTTCACGGACGCGCGGTGCGCCGAGGCGATGGAGGCGCTGCAGACCGACCCCAAGTCGGCGATGGAGCGGTACGGCCACGTGGAGGAGATGCGCGACTTTTTGCAGGCACCGAGACCAGCCAAGATTCGCAGGTTCGGCGAGATTCAAGCGGTTCGTCGAGCCTCCCGCCCCTCCCCGCAGGCCTTCCTCAAGCTGATGGGGGAGCACTTCAGCGCACTCGGCGAGGAGGGAGCGGCGCGAGAGGCCGCCATCCGCCCGGCCGCCGTAGAGACGGCTGAGGAGCGCTCGGCGCGCGAGGCGGCGGACAAGGCGCTGCGCGACCCCGAGGTGGTTGCGATCCTGCAGGAGCCGCGCATGCAGGCGCTGCTGCAGCGGCTGCACGAGGGGAGGTCGCTCGAGGTCGAGGCGGAGATGCGCGCGCCAGACACGATGCGCAAGCTGCGCCGGCTGGCGGAAGCGGGCCTCATCGGGATGCACTTCGGCAGCCCTTGAGTCATCGGCGACGCGAACAGAGAGCGGAGCCGCGGAGCGGAGAGAGAGAGCCACGCGCGTGCACACCGCAGGCTCGCTCTTAAGGTCAAGCGCGGTCCTCGGATCCCCGCCAAAAACCTTTCGAGCAGGTCTGCCGAGATCTCTTGCGTGCATTTGCCATCTCCACACACCCCCGCACAAGGACGAAAAAGAGTGTCAAAATTTACGCCGTTCAACGCACGCGCTGTGTCGTGCAGCTGCAGGGTGCTCGACGCACACCCGCCCGCTTTCTGCGCCGGCCGCCCCGTGGAGTCCCCGCATCAACCTCTCGCTCTCTGCCCGCCCGCCGCTCGCCCGTTCCTTGCGCTCCTCCCCTGCGCTACCGGCACCTGCCCCTCTATGGCGCAGGGTCGTAGCCGTTCGGGTTGTTTGAGATCCAGCGCCAAGAGTCGGCGCACATGTCTTTCAGGCCGAGCTCCGCCTTCCACCCCATCTCCTCCTCCGCCTTGCTCGGCTTGCCGTAGCAGACCGCCACGTCGCCCGGCCGCCGGTCCGCGAGCACGTGCTCGAGCGTCTTGCCGCACGCAAGCTCGTACGCCGCGAGCATCTCCAGCACCGAGTACCCCGTCCCCGTGCCAAGGTTGTACACCACGCTCCCCGGGTTGGTCGCCACCTTCTTGAGCGCCGCCAGGTGACCCTTGGCCAGGTCGACCTACGGGACGTGTCCAGGACACGTCGTGCGCACGCCCCGCCAGCCGCCAGGCGGTGCCTCGGCCGGGCGTACCACGTGGATGTAGTCCCGCACGCCGGTGCCGTCCTTGGTAGGGTAGTCCGAGCCGTAGACGGAGAGGTGCGTCCGCTGCCCGACCGCGACCTGTCCACAGCCCCACGTGCGCAGAGACGCTAGTCAGCAGAGACGCTAGTCACAGGCGCGGCCGCCCGCCCGCAGCGAGCTTGGTGTCGGTGTGTGCATCTCGGCCAGAGCTCGCAAAGAATCTCGGCTCTCCCTCGCCTGCTGGATGTAGGGCATCAGGTTGTTTGGGATCCCCTTCGGCGACTCGCCTAACCTCGCACTCCGATGTCAAGGAGCGGCGCCCCGCCCGACTCCCCCGCCCCCGCCGGCCGCGCGCCGATCTTGCCCGAGCTGTGGGCGCCGACCGGGTTGAAGTAGCGGAGCAGGATCACGTTCCAGCTCTTGTCCGACTCGTAGAGGTCCTTCAGGATGTACCTGCCGTGCAGGCCCGCGCCAGGCTCGGAGGAGGGGCATGCGCGGGGTCCTCGCCGCGAGCCGGCATCTGTGCGCTCTGCATCTCTGCGCTCTCTGATGGCATCTCCGTGCGCTCTGCGCTGCGGCTGCAGATCCTCTCTGGAGAGGCTGCGGGCGCGGCTGCGGGCTCGGCTGCGGTGTGCGGCGTCTCACTCGATGAAGAGCTTCGTGCGTCCGTACGGGTTGGTCGCGCTCGTGGGGAAGTCCTCGGTGACGGGCACCGACGCGGGGTCGCCGTACACAGTCGCGGAGGAGGAGAAGACGATGCTCTTGCAGTCGCCCTTCTCCATCGCCTTGACCAGGTTGAGCGTGCCTGCAATGTTATTCTCGTAGTAGAAGATCGGCTTCGCCACGCTCTCGCCGACAGCCTTGAGCCCAGCGAAGTGAATCACCGCGTCAAACTTTGCGCCCTCGTCCTTTGCGCGTTTGAAGAGCGCGTCGAGCTTTTCCGGCTCGAGCAGGTCGATTTTCACAAACTTTAGCTCCTTAGTCTTCAAGCTTCCGTCGGACTTTGCCACCTCGTCTGCGTGCAGCTGTCTCACCCGATTGAGCGCCTCTTCCGTCGCGTTGTACAGGCTGTCCATCACGACGACATCATATCCGGCGTTGAGCATCTCAAGGCACGTGTGCGATCCGATGTAGCCCGCGCCACCCGTGACGAGCACCTTCATGCCGTCAGGTACCTTGCTGTCTCCGATCACTCCGATGTCGCCGACGTAAGGGTGGCAAACAACCAAAAAGAAATCGCGCCAACGCTTACATGACAAGCGATCCCACGATTGCGAATGTGGGGACTACATGATTACAGGAAGGGTGGAGGGGCCCGTCTGCAGAGCTAGGCGGCGCTGGCACCCCCCACTGGGGCCGAGGACAAGAAGCCGTTTATCGCTTCCTTGAGCACTTGAGCACTGGATAGGGCCGATTCCGCGTGGTACGGGACCCCTCGATCGTCTCGCCCTCCCTCACTGGTATGTTCATTGGGGGGGGTCATAACAAACACGGTACAGGATCGAGGTGCACGCTGCCGAAGCAGTGTCGTCCCCCCTCTCCCTGAGTTTGTATTGCAGCCAGGCCTCAATGTAGTACTCATTGCGCAGATGCCCGTCCAGGTGCGTCGGATGCCAGTCGAGAGGCGTCGGAGCTTCCCTGGACGGGACGTATCCTAGCCGTACGCCTGTCATCGCTATCTGCGCTTCCACGTACAGCCGGTCCGGCTCGCCGAGCTCCCCCGAGAGGGCAAGATCGACTTGGTCGAAGACAGCCGCCCCCGCGTGCGCGTACAGATGTATGACCCCGTACCCGCCTTGCACACCCTCCGCGTAGATCTGCACCCGGGGCGCCAGGCGGTGCCGGTGGCCAAGGCGGCCGTATGCCTTACGTCTGTCCACCTCGATCTGCTCGCACGGTCCGGCCATAGTAGTATACCGCCCACGACAGGGGCACGGTCCGGCCATAGTAGTATACCGTGCCGCAGGTTATCGCTTGTTCTTTTGCTTGTTGATCCAGTCGGTACCCTACTGTCTGAATTCGCGGAGCGAAGAAAATTTTATACGGAATACGTCCATTTTTGGAGCTTGGAATACGGCGTATTCCATGGAATACGTGGAATACGGGTGGAATACGGGTGGAATACAGGCCTCTGGGAGGTCATTTGGAATACGTGGAAAACGTATTCAGACAGTAGGGTCGGTACGCTCCTTGCGCGCCTGCTTGTTGATGTTGTCGGCGTCGCCCGCCACCGCCGCCTTGGAGATAATCTGCTGCAAAACGCGGCGAAAATTCGCGCGTGTGAGCGCGCGCGGCAGCGCAAAACCGCTAGCAGTACGCGAGACGGAAGGTAGGTAGGTAGAAAGGTGAAGAACAGCCAGGCTCGGACTGGACACCAACGCGGTGGACGCTAGACAGATGATGACGACACGCACGAGCGACACACAGACACAAACAGGCTCACAAGACACACAGCCAGCTGGCTGCCACACACCCTGAGTAGGCGTACACATAACTCAAGGCCACATCCTCACGGAAGCAGAGCCAGAAAAGAAAATGCGGAGCTTAAAACGAGAAGTCGAGAACGCCCTCTCGCGGTTCCGCAACAAGAAACGCAAACCCGCTCACTCTCTTGTCAGATGCTGCTACACCCTCGCCCGCCGCCGACGCCGGCAGCTGTCGATCGCGAGTGCCTGCGTGCTGCAGCCGCCATCGCCACGCGTGGCAGATACGCCAGTGCTGCTGCGGTGACGCGAGACGCGTGCCTGGCGCTCGGCGTGTCCTCGTTCGAGGCAGTCGGCCTCTCGACGGCCGCCGTGCCCAGCCTGTGCCAAGTCTGGGAGATCGAGCGGCTCGTGGGGAGCTACGCCTCTGCATTTGCTGCCACGCACGGCATCGCCTGCATCGCGAATCTCGAGCCCGAGGTGGTCGCGGCGCTCCGCAGCCGCCTCGTGCCTCCGCTGCCGCCGCCACCCGCCGCCGCGGCCGCCACAGCTGCAGAGGAGGAGATTGACATCGAGGAGGAGTCGGAGGCGTCGGAGGCGTCGGAGGCGTCGGAGGCGGGCATGCAGGACGCGAGTCCGCTCGCCTCCTTCTCCGCGTTCGGCGTCGGACCGCTGCGTCTCCACCCGGCTGTGTGTGCGCTGTGGCCGGCGGCGGGGCGCGGGGAGGGTTGCGGCGAGGAGGGTGGCGGGGAGGGTGGCGGGTGGATGAGTCACGCGGAGGCGGGCGCAGCACCTCCTCTCCTCTGGAGGAAGAAAGTTCCTCACGAGTAGCTCGTCGCTGATAGGCGGCGCAGCACCTCGTCGCGCTCCTCGCCGAGCTGCAGCGGCCTGCGGCGCGGCCCGAGCAGCTCGAGCTCGTCGCTCCCGCCCCCGAGCAGCTCGACGTCTCTGCCGCGGCGCTCCGAGGGCGGCTCGAGGCCGCCTCTGGCCGCTCCCTCGCCTCGCTCGGCGTGCGGCTCGTGCCAGCAGCGCTGCCCGGCACGATCCACGCGCTGCGCAGCGCCGCCCACGCCTCGGCGGAGCTGCGCGCCGTGGCTGCCCAGCTCGCGCTCGAGCGGCACGCCGCCAGCGTGGCTGCACTCCGCGGCGGTGGCGGGGCGGGGCCGGCGAGGCTCCCCCCGCACGGCTCGTCCCTCTCTGCCGCCGCTCGCGGTGCCTCCGGAGCTGCAGCCTCGGCGACGGCTCCGCTCCCGCCGCGGCTCGCCTCCGCCCTCGGGCGGGCGCCATCCGCGACATGTCCGTGACACTTCCTGGACGTGTCCCACAGGCTCGCCGCCCCGTCCGACGGGCGCGTGGGCGACGTGCTGACCTGCTGCAGAGCTCGGATCGGCGCGCGCCCCTCCCGTCTCGTACACGTATACCTCGGCTGCATCTCGGCTGCATCTCGGCTGCATCTCGGCTGCATCTCGGCTGCAGCTCGGGTCGGCGCGCCACCGCCCCCTGGAGGGCGAGAGGCGTTGGGGGGGCAGAGGCATCGCACGGCCTGACGACCCTCCTCGAGCACCCGCCCTCGCTCGGGGCAGGCGAGTACCCGCGCCCCACTTGGACAGCTCTGCGCGCGACAGTGGCAGCGATGGCGACGCCCGATGCTAGACCGGCGAAGAGGCGACGCCGCGGCGGTGAGGCCGCCTCCGCCGAGCCCGCCTCCGCCGAGCTCGACGGCGACGCTCTGCAGCGGGTGGCGACGGAGTACCTGATGCTCCACCTTGGTGCCACAAAGTGGCGGGCGAGGCGCTTCGCGGCTCCGGGCTCGGCCGAAGGCCAAACCAACGACCAGGTCGACCAGGCAGGCGCCACGGGAGGAGGCGGCGCCGAGGCAGCCGCGTCGGAGATCGAGTCGGCGTCGGCGGCGGTGGCCGAGCCGGGCTGCGGTGCCGAGGCGGCGGCGGCAGGGTCCGAGGTGGGGGTGGGAGTGGCGGACGCAGGGGAGAGGGCGGGTCGGGTTGGGGTGGGGAGGTCTGAGGAGGCGGTGGGAAGCGAGGAGAGGGAGGGAGAGGTGGAGGAGGAGGCGGAGGAGGAGGCGGAAAGCGACGACGACGACGACGAGGAAAGCGAGGAGGAGGAGGAGGCGGCGGCGGAGGAGGAGGAGGAGGCGGCGGGAAGAGAATGGAGGGACCTGGCTGGCGGTCAGACCTCAGCAGAGGGGGAGGCGAGAGGAGGAGGAGGAGGCGGCGGTCAGACCTCGGTAGAGGCGCGTGCTCGACCGGCCCGATGCCTCACCTCGGAACCGTCTCGGAGCCTTCTCGGAGCCTTCTCCTGTAGGTCCGTGCTCGCCCGCTCGATGCGGTGGCGGCGCCTCCCGCGCGGTTGCGTCCTCCCTCCTCCCGCAACCGACCACCCCGCCACCCAGGCCGCTCCGTCCTGCCCTGGGCGCACCTGCCCGGCCGCACCTCCGTGCCGCCGCCGCCATGGCGCGGCACCGTCGCGCTCGCCCCGCTTCGGGCGACAGGCGGCGGCGGCGGCGGCGGGGCGGGCGGTGGCAGCGGCGCAGGCGGTAGCGGCGGCGACACGCGCGCCGAGCTCGCTGCCGTGGGGAGGTGGGGCGAGGCGCTGGTGTACAACTTGCTGCTTGCCACGCTGCCACCGTCGCGCCGCGTCGATTGGCTCAACCACGAGGCGGAGACGCGAGCGCCGTGCGGCTCGCTGTGTGTGGTGCCGATCGGAGGTCTCGAGCGCGCTCAGCTGCTCGGCCTTCTGCTGTAGGTACGATTTGGTGGTCTGCGACCGGGGCGGGAGCGGTGTGCGCGAGTTCGTCGAGGTCAAGACGTCGCGCTACTACGACCACAACGTCTTTGACCTCTCCTACTTTGAGTGGGATTTCCTCTCCCGCGAGCCGCCCGTCCAGTACCGCATCTACCGCGTAAGCGGCGCGGCGGAGGCCGCCGGGCCGCGTGTCTCTGTGATCCATGATGTGCTGCGGGCCGTGAAGGAGGGATCGGCGCGCTTGTGCCTGGCAATTTAGAGGCCGCCCGAAAAAAACTAACGAATACTTGGAGCTCTTGATCTCAAGTTTGTCACAACACCCATGCCACCCAGGCGGGCTGGACCTAGTCTCTATCGGTACTGTTTTTTTTTGGATTTTGCCATGTTGTTCACGCGACCCTCCCAGATATCTCAGTCTCAGAGCCAGAGCGCAGAGCGGAGCGCGGCGTCCCTCTCCGGTTAGTACCAGAGAGGTGCAGCGCCCATGGGCAGCGCCGTCGAGCGGTGACACCAGACACCGTGTGAGCTGGCATGAGCAACCATGCGAATTTGTTGGGAGGGCCTCGACACGCGACAGCCGACACCCCCCCTCATCGGGACAAGAGTGATGAGCGGAGCTAAGGTGCGGTGCAACGATCATGGGCCGGATTGATGGGTAACAGAGAGGGGCTGAGGGAGATCCATGAATGAGACAATGCCACATGATCATCATCGTTTGTGGACGTCATCTTGCTGCCATCTTGGAGAGCGACAGAACGCAATGGCTGTTGCTGATCAGGCCGCGGCGGACGCTGCGCGGAAGCCTGGCGTGCCGCGCCCTGCGGGCATGGGCGTCGCCGCGGTCGAGGGCGCCGACGCCTCGCGCTCGATGCCTTCCTCGAAAGCGAACCCCTCCTCGGCGAGCCGCGGCAAGCAGTACTCGTAGATGGTAGGGAGCGTGGGCCGCAGCACGCCCGCGAGCGGCTCGGCGTCCGGGCCTGACGAGGCGGAGCCCTGCTCTAGCAGGCGCTGCACGCCGAGCGCCGCGGTGATGCCGACCGACCGCGACATGCTCGAGACTCCGTCGGGCGTCCCGTAGCTCACCAGCGACGACGAGCGCACCTGATGGGAGGGCGTGCGCGCGGGGGCGAAGCCTCCAGTCGTGTGTCCCGCCTCGCGCGCGCACGTAGTTGGTGGTGGTGGAGGGTGGCGATTGGAAGGAGAAGGCACCTCGGACGGGCGGCCGTCTGGAAAGGCGACGTGCAGTCGGTGCTCCATGAAGACGGCGTCTCTCTCGCCGGGCGCGTAGCTCAGGCGGCCAGCGAGCAGCGCGCTGAAGGCGTCGGCGACGGTGGCGTCGGTGCTGATCTCGGGCGCAGACCCGTCCCACACGCCTGCAGGTGGAGCAGCAGCGATGGTGTGGCTGCCTCACAATCGCAGGGGCTGAGCCTCTCGCGCACGCGCCGAGCGAGGCGAGCGCGTCGATGACGCGGGCGCTGGCTGCCGGAGCCGCGGTAGGGGTGACGCCGCGCGACGCGAGCAGCTCAGGCCACGTGCGCACGCCGGCCGGCAGCGGCGCCGGCTCCGTCAGGCCGAGATCGGCAAACTCGGCGAAGAGGCCCGACCAGCCTGCGTAGCGGAGCGTGCCGCGGAAGACGGAGTGCGCCTCCGCCTCGATGCCGTACAGCTCCGCGTACGGGAGCGAGTCGCGGTTGGGCAGCACCTGGGAGATACGGGGGAGATACGGGGGAGAGATGGGGGAGTAAGTCTGGGCAGCACTGGGGAGGAGGAGCGGAGGAGGAGCGGCGTGGAGGCGGGAGCGGAGAGGCAAGCGGTTGTGTGTGGCAGAGAGCGGGGTGGGTGAGCACGGACGGGTGCGGGCGCCACCTCGAGGCGCAGCGTGCGGCCGAGGCGCGAGCTGTCCGCGAGCGGCGTCGCGGAGCGAAGCAGCTCCTCGCCGGCGACACGCACGACCGCCCCGTCCACGGTGAACTGCGCCGGGTTGCGCGTCGCCGAGATGACGCCGGCCGGCGACCAGGAGAACTTGTACGCGAGCGGGGTGGAGGAGGCGCACTCGGGCGCGGGGAGGCCGCCGCACAGGGAAGAGAAGGCGGTGACGGCGCCCCCCTCCTCGCGCACGCGCCGGATGAGCTCGGCCGCCGACATGTGGTCCAAGCCTGCTAGCAGCTGATCAGTTAGAGGCCGCCGGACGGCGCTCGACGGCCGACGTGGGGCCCGCGCCCGGGTCGAGCCCCATCTCGGGTAATCTCGGGTAATCTCGGGTAATCTCGCGCCCGGGTCGAGCCCCATCTCGCCCAGGAGGGGCACGCCCGCCGCGACGGCGCGCTCGTGCAGCGCGAGCAGCTCCTCGGAGACGTAGCTCGCCTGTGAGGGCAGAGCCGCGCGTGCCGAGGCCGAGAGCCGTGGGCGTCCCCTCGGCGAGCTCTCGCCGTCACGAGGGGAGTGCCGCCCTCGATGCACGCCTCCGCCACCGGAGCGTGCATCGTGGCCGGCAGCAGAGAGAGACACGCGTCCGCCTGGCCCAGCAGACCGCACAGCGCCCCCCACCCCGAAGCGTTGGTCGGCCGAGCGTCGACGGTGAGCGGCTGAAGGTTTGGGCGCCCCAGGGCAGCGCACGCGCGGGACGCCTCTCCCTCCACCGCGCTGATGACCGTGACGACGTCCGCCGAGCGGCGCGAGAGCAGCTCGATCGCCGGCAGCGCGCACAGCCCGGCGCCCAACACGACAATCCGACTGCCGCCCGGCGCCGGCGCCGCAGCCGCCGAGGCGGCGAGGGCGGCGGCGCCACCGCCCGCCGATCCGGGGATGGTGCGGTCGTACACGCCGCCGCAATGCTCGGGCAGCTCGACGACGGACGCTTCGGCGAGTGGCATCCGCGCCGCCAGCGCCTGCAGCTGCGAGAGGACCGCGTCGAGCGGCGCGCGGCCGGCGTCGAGCGTGAGCTGCATCAGCGCAGACGACTTTTGGCGGAGGCTCGAGGCGGGCTCGCGGCCGGTGGACTCGTTCGGCCGGACGGTCACCTCGAGCAGGTCGAAGCGGCCGCCCGCCGCCTAAGGGGAGGCTCGGGGTAAGCCTCCGACCGGGTTCAGAGGGCTGGTGAGCTGGGCTGGTGAGCTGGGCTGGTGAGCTGGGCTGGTGAGCTGGGCTGGTGAGCTGGGCTGGTGAGCTGGGCTGGTGAGCTGGGCTGGTGAGCTGGGCTGGTGAGCTGGGCTGGTGAGCTGGGCTGGTGAGCTGGGCTGGTGAGCTGGGCTGGTGAGCTGGGCTGGTGAGCTGGGCTGGTGAGCTGGGCTGGTGAGCTGGGCTGGTGAGCTGGGCTGGTGAGCTGGGCTGGTGAGCTGGGCTGGTGAGCTGGGCTGGTGAGCTGGGCTGGTGAGCTGGGCTGGTGAGCTGGGCTGGTGAGCTGGGCTGGTGAGCTGGGCTGGTGAGCTGGTGAGCTGGGCTGGTGAGCTGGGCTGGTGAGCTGGGCTGGTGAGCTGGGCTGGTGAGCTGGGCTGGTGAGCTGGGCTGGTGAGCTGGGCTGGTGAGCTGGGCTGGTGAGCTGGGCTGGTGAGCTGGGCTGGTGAGCTGGGCTGGTGAGCTGGGCTGGTGAGCTGGGCTGGTGAGCTGGGCTGGTGAGCTGGGCTGGTGAGCTGGGCTGGTGAGCTGGGCTGGTGAGCTGGGCTGGTGAGCTGGGCTGGTGAGCTGGGCTGGTGAGCTGGGCTGGTGAGCTGGGCTGGTGAGCTGGGCTGGTGAGCTGGGCTGGTGAGCTGGGCTGGTGAGCTGGGCTGGTGAGCTGGGCTGGTGAGCTGGGCTGGTGAGCTGGGCTGGTGAGCTGGGCTGGTGAGCTGGGCTGGTGAGCCGGGCTGGTGAGCCGGGCTGGTGAGCTGGGCCGCCTCGACGACGTCGAGCGCCGCGTTGATGAGCCCCGAGTCGAAGAGGTGGCCTAGCTCAACGCAACACCGCCGATCAGTGGCCTCGAGGAGCTGCGCCGGGCCCGAGCCGAAGAGGGCTGCCGTTCAGCCGCAGCACGGTCGAGCCGGCGACCGCGCGCGCCTCCGCCTCAGACAAGTGATGCCGGAGGGCCGCGTCGCGACCAGAGAGGGCCCGCTGCGACTCCTCGTCGCGCTCGCGCGCCTCGCGCAGCGCGCCAATGTACCCGTACGCCGGTGCGAGCGCGCCGGCCTCGGCGATGGTCGCGGCGGAGAGCTCGGCGGAGAGCGGAGCGCCTTTTCACAAGCAGCACGTGTGAGGTGGCGGAGGTCGGCTGAGTGGCGGAGGTCGGCGGAGGTCGGAGCGCCCGGGGTGGCGAGCGCGTCGAGGAAGGGGAGCAGCGCCTGCCCACACGGTGTGGTGTGAAACAGACGCCTCGCTGTGTGCCCCTCGCTGTGTGGCGGCCGCGTCGAGGGACGGGGGGAGCGCGCCTGTGCAAAGTGGGCGCTAGCCTCGCGCGGCAGCTCGGCGGGCAGGATGTCGACGCCTGAGGGACGTGCGGCGGACGTGTCGTGGACGCGTCGGACGTGCTGCGG